CCCAAACCTGTGGCATGTTGTGCAAGCCGATGGAAGTCAGGAGGGGGAGCGGGAGGGGGAGGGAGGCGGGACACAGGCCCTGACCTTGGGCAGGTGCAGTTCACCCACTCGGAAGCTGTAGCCAGGGGCGAGCCGCCCTTGCCAGTGAACGACGAGATGCGGGGCAGGGTCACGGGCAGGTCCTCCGGGGAAACGGGCACTGGACCGCAGGCTGGGCAGTGGACAATGGGGATGGGTGTGCCCCAGTACCGCTGGCGGGAGATCAGCCAGTCCTTCAGCTTGTCACTTGTCACCTCTCCGCCCACTCTCTCCCCTCGGGCTTTCTGCGTCACGGCTAGAAAGGCCTCCTGGCGAGTCATGCCTGTAAACTGAGAGAAAAAAGAAAAGATGGCCATGATTCTCTGAGCAAGACCAAGTCACCACCCCCAGCCCTGCCTGGCCCATTCCAGGGACCAGATGGGCTGCCAGGATGACTTCTACCAGCCCTGAGGTCTTGCTCCTTAAGGAGATAGTAACGGTCATGTCTATTAGCCGGGCATCAGTGGCTCCCGCCTGTCATCCTAGCTACTCAGGAAGCTGAGATCTGAGGCGTGAAATGCAAAGCCAGCCAGAGCAGGAAAGTCTGTGAGACTCTAATTTCCAATTAGTGGGAAATTAAGCTCTGGCTCAAGTGGTAGAGCCCTAGCCTTGAGCAAGAAGCTCAGGGGTAATGCCCAGGCCCCTAAGTTCAAGCCCCAAGAACAGCATACACATACATACAAAATCACATCTAAGCCAGGCGCTGGTGGCTCACACCTGTCATCCTAGCTACTCAGGAGGCTGAGATCTGAGGATCACAGTTCAAAGTCAGCTCAGGTAGGAAAAGTCTGTGAGACTCTTATCTCCAATGAACCACCTAAAACCAGAAGTGGCGCTGTGGCTTAAGTGGTAGAGCACTAACCTTGAGCTGAAGAGCCGAGGGACAGTGCCCAGGCCCAGAGTTCAAGACCCATGACCAGAAAAAAAAAAATCCATCTATTATTTTAATATGTGTGAGGTACTAGAGCTTGAATTCAAGGACTCCTACATTTGCTTAAGCTTTCTCTTAATAAAGCCGATGCTCTACCCTCTGAGTTATATACCACTCCTTCGGGCTTTTTGGTGATGAGTTAAGAGATAAGTCTCAGACTTTTCTGCCCTGGCTGGCTTTGAACCTTGAACCTCAGATCTCCATCTCCTGAGTAGTTAGGAGTTTAGGCTTGGAGCCACCAGCGCCTAGTTGAAAAAATCAGATTTTATAGCTGCAACTAATAGAAAAAGGAATGTAATTATTGACGCATTGTTTTTCCCTTCAGATTTGTAGAGAAATTCAACCTTTTCAGGGGCATCAAAAAGCACCATGGCTTTGGACACTGCCCTTGTAGCGAAAGGGGAAGCTGGCCCTAGTAAAGTGTGTGTGTGTGTGTGTGTGTGTGTGTGTGTGTGTGTGTGCACGTGCATACGTGTGTTTAGATCCTGGTGGTTAAACTCAGGGCTTCAATGCTGTTCCTGAGCTTTGCTGCTCAAGACTAATGCTTTACCACTTGAGCCACAGCTCCATTTCCAGCTTTTTTTTTTGGTGATTTCACTGGAGATAAGAGTCTCACAGACTCTCCTGCCCAGGTTTGGTTCTGAACCATGATCCTCAGATCTCAGCCTCCTGAGTAACTAAGATGACAGGCGTGAGCCACCAGCATCCGCCAGTATTTTGTTCTCACTGAATAAGAAGCAAAGCTATGGGCTGGGACAAGTAGCTTGGTGGCAAAGCACTTGACTAATAAGTGTAACATCCTGGGTTCAATCCTCAGTTACCAAAAAAGAAAAGAAGGAGGAGGAAGAAGAAGGAAGGAGGAAGAAGAGGAAGGAGAAGCAGAAGCAACGGAAGGAAGCAGCAGCAGCAGCAAAGCTGCCAGAGATCTTTAGATATGGGGTTGAGGGAAAAGCATAGATTGTGATTTGCATCTGAAGGAGAGTATCTTTTTTGTTGTTGGTGATGGTGGTCATGGGGCTTGAACTCTGGGCCTGGGCGCTGTCCCTCAGCTCTTCAGCTCAAGGTGAGCGCTCTACCACTTGAGCCACAGCACCACCTCTGGTTTTCTGGTGGTTCATTGGAGATAAGAGTCTCAGGGACTTTCCTGCCTGAGCTGGCTTGGGACCATGATCCTCAGATCTCAGCCTCCTGAGTAGCTAGGATGACAGATGGGAGCCACCAGCACTCCAGCTGAAGAATATCATATCAAACTCACTCCCAGATCATGATTCCAGAAGTACTTAGGCACGTATCTTGGGGTACCGACCTCAGCCGAGGAACACAGTCTTTCTGTGCCGTCTGGCAGGGTTTCGATGACTTCTGAGTAGGACAGGCCCAATGCGTGGGCTAGGAGAGCATCCTCTGGGCTGGTGCTAGGAATCCCTGTTCAAGGGAAGAAATGAACATCTCCTATGCAACCCACAACACCCGTTTGGCTTCAGCACTCTACCAACTTGAGCCACACTTCTACTTCCAATTTTTTTGCTGGCGAGTTGGGGATACAGAGTCTTATGAACTATTGTGTCATAGGCTGGCTATGAACGGAGATCCTTAGCTCTCATCCTCCTGAGTAGCTAGGAAAGGTGTAAGCCACTGACACTCGGCTCAGCTTTAGCTTTCTTATAGGAGACCCTCTCTTTGGTTTAGAAGTTATAAAGACATGCCACATCCGAGGGAAAATGGAAGCCAGTCTTTGAGTATTATGCCACCCTAATGGGCCTATTTTCTACCATGACATTATTTCCTTGAAGTCTTTTTTTCCTTTTTTTTTTTTTTGCCAGTCCTGGGACTTGAACTCAGGGCCTGGGCACTGTCCCTGAGCTTCTTTGGTTCAAGGCTAGCACTCTACCACATGAGCCACAGTGCCACTTCTGGCTTTTTCTGGGTATGTGGTACTGAGGAATCGAACCCAGGGCTTCATGCATGCTAGGCAAGCACTCTACCACTAAGCCACCTTCCCAGCCCCTGAGTTCTTTTTCTTTTGCTTCGTTTCCTTTTCTTCTTTTTCTTTCCTTTCTCTCTCTCTTCCTTCTTGTTATTTTTTTGGGGGGGGTCCAGTTGTGGGGCCTGAACTCTGGGTCTGGGCACTGTCTCTCAGCTCTTCAGCTCAAGGCTAGCACTCTACCTCTTGAGCCACAG